ATTTATACGAGTAACGTAAAATTAAATTATGAAATAATGATATGATGGTACGAGAGAGCCATTTCACACTCTAACAATGAAAAAGATTTTTTTATGTTACAATTATGGTAATATATTATTAATTCTACGAAGGACAAGTTTATGTTTTTGCCAGAAAATCCGATTTGCTAATTTTATGTTTCAAGTCATTCTGAATCGTTTGACACTGAAATTGAAAAAGTGTGACAAAATTTGACTCTTGGGGAAAAAATTCTGCCTTCCTCAACTAATTGTTTGGGGGCGTCCATTAATCACGTGAGGTTAAACAAAAAATCACCGAATATCACGTGGGGGAGGGAGGGGTGTAGTAAGATATCACGTGTATTTATTTTTTAACTTATTTATTTAAAAATTTCAAATGTTTTCAAAAAAAAAATAAACTAGTGGGGTGGGTGGCATCGTGCCTTAAGGCAAATTGCTGGAACTTCCCGTACCATAACGAAACGTTCGAGGAATATTGAATGTTTTCAAATAGATTATTATAAATATTGTATTATTGTCTAATATTTATAATAATTATATAAACTGAATTGCAGAGTTGAAATTATTTGTTTAAAGTATATTAGAACTATAGTCAGAATTAAAAATAAAATCTGAATTATTTTCGATATACAAAAAATTAAAAAAAAAAAAAAAAAAAAAAAAAAAAATTGTACAAAATTTTTTTTTCCAAAATTAATTATTTTGTTAAGACAAGCAGAAAGTTCTTTGAATCAATTGAATCGGACGCTTAGTTCTCTCAAAAACTGCCATTTTTTGTACATTTAGCTCTGTATCTCCGAAATGGCTGGGCCTGCCTTTGCGAAAAACTAATAACCCTTTCTCCCAATCATTACTAATGGAATGTTTCTTAGATCATTCAAATCGGATGCTCCGTTCTCTCAAAAACTCGATTTCTATTTTCTGCACTCTTTGCTCCTTATCTCCGTAACTGCTGGACCTGTCTTTGCCAAAAACTAATCAGCTCTTCTCCTTATTAATAGGAATCGAATGTTTTTTTAAACCATTCAAATCGGTTGATCCGTACGCCCGAAAACGTGGACGAAAATTTGTATCCATACATACATACACACACACACACACACACACACACACACACATCCATTTTTCTGAGGTATGCCAAAACGTTCAGAAACCTTCAAAACGTCGAGAAATGTAAAAAATTTCAATTCCGATTTTCGGCCCATTACAATAACTTACCCTACGGGAAGTTAAAAAATTACAGTTTTTTCACGTAACTAAAAATACACGTGATGTTTGGTGGGGGAGGGGGGGATTAATTTTGAATATTACCATGTATTACCAAGGAGGAGGGGGGGGTACAAAAATCCTCAAAAACTCGCTCACTGATTAATGGACGCCCTCTTTGTTCACAAGCAAAATGTTTCTTGGATTGAATTGAAAGCTTTGTGTTCCCAAAAACTGCCATTTTGTACACTTTTAGCTCCTTAACTTTGAAACGGCTTCAAGGGTAAAATAGAAGGCTGACAGGATTGGGAAAAAAATGCAAATGATTGACGTATAATGCGAGAAGAAAAAATACAGGGAACTGAAAGCCGAAGCACAGGATCAGGAAGCATGGAAGCAGAAGTTTGGATAGGAAAATACATAAAAAAGTGTACAGAAGGGGGGGGGGGGTGTGATGGGATTGATAGACGATGAAGGGTAAGGGAATCATTTATTTGTCGTGGCTCTCACACCAAGAACCTGCCTTCGGGCAGATTACCATTCATTACTACTATTATTATATAGTGAATTGTCTGAAAATATTGTAGATAGTCTGAAAGTTCCTAAATGTCTCATTTTTTACCACGAGAAAATCCATTTGTTTCCGGGCTCCTCTTTCGGCCTCGTGCATCTGAATATGTAATTTTTTATTATTGTTGTTATATTATTATTAATTCTGAATTGTTAACATTTAAGAATTAGAGTGACGTGACAAGGTTGATGTATAATTCTTTTGCCGAAAATAACGTTGCATCTAGAGCAACTACTTATTATGTAAACAAGAACACGGAACAGAGATATGGGGAGAGCGGTGTAATTAGGGATAGTTGATAATTGATTGGGTATATTTTTAGTTGACGGGTTATGTAGAAAAAGCTCTGGACAAATCTTGACCAAAGGGTCTTTAAGAGGTTTTAAAAAGTCCTTAAATGTTCATAGTTTATAGGATTGGAGTGTGTCAATAGTTGCACCTAAATGCACCTAAAATCTTGTTTGAAGAATACTTAGAAGGTTTCAAGAAGTCCTTAAGGAAGAATTAGAATGCCTAAATAATAGTTCATGTCTAATGAAGATCTGGAAGAGGTTTTGTTTTAAAGGTGATGTAAAAGACCCAAAAGATGTAGTACATAACATGCTTTTATAGTAGCTGATGTGTAGCAAAGGTCCAGAGGAAATAGTGGTTGATGTGAACTTACTGCTGCAGTTTTATTTTTGGACACTAGTTTTGGTCAGGATAGGGAGTAAAATGTTTATGTTCTACAAATGTGCATGTGAATATGTCAATTCACCTTTGCCCTGGTGTCATTTTACCCTGGTGTCTCAATAGTTGCACCTAAATGCACCTAAAATATTGTTTGATGAATTCTTAGAAGGTTTTAAGAAGTCCTTAAAGAAGAATTTAGAATGCCTAAATAATAGCTCATGTCTAATGAAGGCCTGGAAGAGGTTTTCTTCTGGTGATGTAAAACCCCCAAAAGTTGTAGTAATTACATAACATGCCTTATTAGTAACTGATGTCTAATAAAGGTCCAGACGAGGTTTTAAATGGTGCTGAAGGTTGTAATTATGACATCAATTAATTTTATCTTAAGATGTCTATTAATACTGGCTGATGTGAACTTACTGTTGCAGTTTTATTTTTAGGCACTAGTTTTGGTCTGGATAGGGAGTAAAATGTTTATATCCTACAGATGTGCCAATGTATCATTTCTCCTGGTGCTATTTTACCCGGTTTTCACCTACTTTGGAAATTATGAGCAATTATTCGGTTTAGTCTAGCCTAGAACAACACTTGACCTGACAATAAGACATTTCAGGCGAAAATAATGTCGACCTTGGCTCGAGACAACAATATGGGGCCATTATTCATAAAACTATTATTATTATTATTACTATTTATATGGAATTAACTCCCTGCTGGCGTTGAAATTAATTTTAATAACAAAATCAATTTAGCAATAAACGTTTAATTTATATTTGCATAAAATAATTACAGATCAATTGAAATTCAATTAGTTCAGTCTAGACGAATTGCGATTACTAATTTTTTTCTTCCGCGTTTGGATGATGTATTAATTATAACTGATCTTGTTTTTTATAGTTTATATAATTATGCAAGTTTATATTTGATCTAAAGGTGATGATTGCCAATTTGAAATGGAAACTGACATGGATCTCCTATGTCTTGTGAAGACCAAAGTGGCGCTGAAAGATGGATCATATTAAAATGATTTTTTTTAAATTTAATTTGCCGGAGAAGGTTGGGTTTTTGCCAGAAAATCTGATTTTCTAATATTGGAAAATTGCAAAAAATGTGTGAGTTAAAAATTTGATCTTTTGTCGACGTTTTCTCAAAAACGGCTGCACCGATTTTTTAAATTTAAAAGCCATTCGATAAAACTCGATGAATGCAAAAGTTTTTATAAATGATTGTGAAAAATATGAAAAGAACCAGGTACGAATATTTGGAAATTTTTTTTTGCTCTATATTGTTCTTTTTAGTATGTTTATTATAACAACGAATACTAAAATTGACAAGTGTTTCGAATGTTCTTCGAAATTTTTGGATTTGGTAGCAATTTGTTTGTTGTAGAATGTTGTTTGGCAATAATTATTGTTTTAAAATATGATTACTATAATGACAAATACTAATCGATGAGGTTTAATAGTAATATTTAAAATATATTTAATTTTGTACGAAAAGTACCCGAAAGTTTATAAATTAGAGTAGGAGGGTTGTAATTTTTAAAAAATATATTATAGAATGGTGAACATTCAGTATATCATACATAAATAAGTGTATTATAAATACAAATACTAAAATTGATGGGTTTACTTATAATTTTATTAGAACATTCACATTTTTATAAAAAAAGGACATTTTTATAAAACTACTAGAGGACATTTCACCAGCTATATTTTATTAACAGATTATTTAATGTTATGAACACACAAATTTATTAATTATAAATTACACAAACATTAATTACATATTTAATTATTTGTACATTTAGTTAAACATAGTAATATTTAAGGAAAGATATAGCACACTATAAATATGTAAAATTTGATTTCTAAATGCTTCAAATGGTTATACATCTGGGTTAACGAATATACAATGCACATCGGATGGGGTAAAAAGTTTAATTTAATTTATAAATTTTAAACGTCTGATTAGCAGGCAATTGGTTCGTAAATGTGTAGTGGCAGAAAATTTGTTGATCGACTAGGAATTTTATTAAACAATTGATGAAAAATCGCATTGATTAGTTTTGCGCGAAGATCGAAGCAGTGGGACATGTTAAAATACTATAGGCCTACGAAAAGTGGTTTAATTATGAAAATTTATAGGAGCTGCGTCCTCAGGATATTTAAATTTAAAATCTTATTGATTAATACGATTATTTATGCACATAAACATATCATGCAAGATGCAAGTTTCTTTAATAAAAAATACTATTTACATCTAGTTTGTTTTCTTTTTTGAATTATTAACTGCCAAATGTCAACTGTCAACCAACACCGCCATGAAGTATGTCACTCTTGACATGACAGCTCTGATGACAGCTATCTGTATTGCATATTGTTAATGCAACATCGTAAAGCATCCTAATATAAAAAAGTGATTTTAAAATTATTAAAAAAACAAATAAAACAACAAAAAAAATTAAATTATTATTAACATTAATTAAATCTTTTAATTATGTGCCAAATATTTCAAACGTGAAATTTCCAACAATAATCAGCTGATGTTGAAATGTCATCTGTCATTTTGTGGATTATTGTGAATTGATTAAAATAATAATGTCTGGAGTTGATTTTAAATATAATACAGATCCTGAATCTTTGTACGATATCACGTTGAAATATGTCGTTGAAAATATTGATATTCTGTATGAAGAGTATCTGAATTATGATGATAAAATTGACTTGAGGCTTAGGAAGGATTTTAGTCTGCCGAGGGAGCTATGTGAGAGGTAAGTGGTAATAAAATGGTGATTAATGTTTTATTGCAGATGAAATATGCAAAACATTTGTTAGAAGATGAGTTTTGTTTGTTTGGAATCACCAGCAGGATGTTGATGTTACAAATTTTATGATGCATGAGGAATTTAGTGAAGAAAAATCAAAATTGTAATACTTATTATACTCGATTGACATCATCACTTACGATGATGATTTCAAATCAAGAATAGAAAACAACAAATCACAACAAATTCGTGTTAAGCAGTCTAAATGGAAATAGCTCATGCGATGAAATTTATTAGTTTCAAATTGTTATTGCTTTCTAATTATAACTTATTAAACTTGAATATTACATCGTTTATGAGCTGCTTTTGTCCGGTTTTGAAAAGGTCCTACCAAACCATTATTGATTTTTTTTTAAGCTGTCCTATATCAAAAACCAAATTGTTTTTTTTTTTTTAAATAAGCTTCTTTATATATTCAATATTATCTTCAATATTTACTATTGTCTCATTTATAACTATTTATATTATTGTAACAGTTATAAATACAAGAAAATTTTATTAATGCTAGTAATTTCCATATGGCCAAGTGCCAATTTGGATTTGATGTAATATACTATAATTATATACAAAATTTGGCATCATTTTTGCTATCGACTTTCATTCAATGTTAATTAATTTATTCATTAATGATAATACTTGTAACTGATTGATTATAATAATATAATTAGTAATTGACGGGTGATATTCAATGCTGCAGTATAATTAATGAGGCTATTTTGACCTCAAATGGCTATAAGAAAGAAACTTTTTTTTTTCAATTAAATACAAAATTCAAATTGCTAAAATTTTAATATTTTCTTTTCTTATTTCAACAATAACAATAACTTATAGATTATAACATCATAATCTATAAGTTAAAACTTTTTCTTAGCTAAACAAAACAATATTACAACTAAATAATTAAAAATAAGTATTTATTTAATATTTATGTATGAATTTATTCATTTATTTTTCTATTTCTTTATACTAGGTTGATAGAATACCACAATGACTATGGCTACGAAACTAATGACAAATTTGCAAAGCTCTTTACACACTTGGAGAATACAAAATTAAAACATGTCACTTTAAGAAATTCTATGATGACTGATTCCGGCCTCCAGTATATTCTAAATCATGATCTGGTCTCTTTACAATTATCGAACTGTACTAAATTAACATCTCAAACTTTAAGTAATATAAATTTGCATTCAAAGAATCTGACTTGTCTGAGTTTTGGAAATGATACATCGATTATACCAACTTGCACAGCTGAATCGAATTGGCTCATATTCAGAACTACAGGTAATAGATAAACATACATTTTTTTTAAAATTATATATGCAGTTTATGAAGTGAAGCTTTTGAAATGTTATAAATTGTCTGAAAATGTTATAAATTGTCTGAAAATGTTGTAAGTTATCTGAAAGTTTTGCAATTTGTCTCAAAATATTGTACATGATTATGTACATTGTCTAAAAATATTGTAAGTTGTGTAAAGACTTTGTAATTTGTTTAAAAACATTGTAGATTTCTATAAAATGTTCTACATAGTCATATGATGTTGTAAATTGCCTAAAAATGTTGTTGATTGCTTAAAAATGTAGTAATTTGTCTGAAGATGTTGATAGTTCACTAAAAATGGTGAAAGTTATCTAAAAATATAGTGAAATTTCTGAAATTTACATAAAATCTTAAAATGTTATCTCTATTTTTATTTTTTCATTTCTAAGTTTCACTTCTTCTCCTTTGATAAACTCTATGTTAATTTATTTATGTATTTAAATGTGAATTATAATATTCTTTTAGGATATGTTATACAAGCTCCTGTTCTTAAAAAACTGACAATTCGAGATATAAATTTGAAGTTATCAGTGTTGTTGTCAAATTTAAAGAATTTAACGTACTTAGATCTATCACAATGTCATATCAGAGGCGAGTTTACACATTTAGAAAAATTAAAGTCTTTGAATTGTCTAATTTTGTATAATGTGGACCATTTGGATGAAGCTATAGATACACTTTGTCGATTAACAACTTTGCAATGTCTTGATTTATCACAGTCCAGCGAGAGAGCCAATCTTTATGAAGATGAAAACCAAGTGAGAAAATTATATTTAACAATTATTGACCTAGTTCATAAATATTAATATTTTTTACAATAGGTTTTAGCCAAGTTGATTGATTGCTTACCTCGATTAACCCATCTGGACATATCTGGTACGAATCTAGCAGGTACAGGCGTAGCCATGTCTTCTTCCAACATAAATAACAACCAGTCAAATCAGAATAGTGCAAACAACCCATCTTTAAACAAGAAATTAAACGACATAGTTAGTGATGAAGAGGATGAGAATTTCTATGATGCTGATTATTTTGATTGCGTCTCTGATATTCCTGGATTAAGTAAACGGATGAGAAATCCTTTGGAATTTCTAGGATTGTATGGTACACTGCACTCAGCTTGCCAGAGGCATGATATTCCTGCCAAAGTTGTAAGTAGAAATAAATAAATTTATTTATTTATTTATATTTATTCATATTTCATCAATTTCTTCTCAGATATCAGGAGATCACAATGAGAGACAAATTTTAGTAGCAGCTCAAGCGTATCAGGAGCGACCTGATATTTTAACAAAAGTTTTGAATGATTTGTATCATTTGTTACGGTTTGAAAACTGTTCTGAAGTTTTGAGAGCTTTAACTGCAGTTTTAACAGCAATGGATCGGCATGTGTCTTGCAAACATATACAGATTTCTGGCAGGTATAATAATAATAATAATATTAATAATATATATATATATATATATATATATATATACGTGGTCTGTTCAAAAAGTACCCGGAATTTTCGTTTTTTCAAAAAAATATTTATTTATTCGTCTACATTAATGTGGTCCCCTTCAAAGTAGTCCCCCCCAGATATAATACACTTATGCCAGCGTTTTTTTCCAATTTTCGAAGCACCTTGATATTCACTTTTTGATATGTCCTTGAGCACTCTAAGCGATTTTCTTCAATCGAGGAAAACCGCCGTCCTTTCATGGGTCCTTCAACTTTGGGAATAGGAAAAAGTCACACGGAGCCATATCTGGTGAATTTTTGCACTTTGCAACACTTTATTTCATTTTTTACGCAAAATTTAATACAAATTCTTTGACTTTTCAATTCTTCCATTGTAAAAATCGCCGAGCTCAGAAAAACACGTCGAACCTTAGCGACTACCACAGACAAAGTAAACAGTGAATATAGCTGAAAATTTCATCATACTTTAGGGGCATCTATACCAACACAATAAAAAAAAAATTTTGACAATCAGACACTCCAGACCCGCGAAATTTAATTATTAGTAATTCCGGGTACTTTTTGAACAGACCACGTATATAAATCTCGTGTCACGATGTTGGTTCGCGATGGACGCCCAAACTACTGAACCGATTTTAAATTTTATTGGCTCATCGTGTGCATATACGTACGTGTATCCCAATATACGTATATCCAAATTAGGTTATAGGAAATTTTGAAAAGTAAATTTACAATATAAATATATAATTTTTATAAATTTCTAAAAATTTTGACAGAAAATGGCCAAAAAAAAACAAAACACTAAAATGACAAATGTCAAAATTTATGAAAAATTCGAGAAAAAAAAGATTTATGATTTTTTGAAAAAAAATTTGACAGTTCAAAAAATATGTTTATAAATTTAAATAAATGTTGACATCAAAATCGTCAAATGTCATTTGTCTATATTTATGAAAATAATTATATAAATAGATTTACAATTTATATTTATTTGATTAGCTTACCAAATTATTTCGGATACCTAAACTTCATCAAAACCTTATAGATCAGAGATCACAATAAAAAAGCGACATATTGATTTTAAAATTAATCATAAACAAAAATTGACTTCAATAAGATACAAATATATTAATTATTCCAAGTTATGTTATAGGCAATATTGCCAATCAAATTATAGATATAAATTATATCATATTATATGAAATTTTGACCAAAAAGGAAATATTTTGGCATTTAAAAATTTAGTGCATATTGGATATATGAAATTGACATTCAATATTTTTAAATTAAATGCAAAAGTAAAAAATCTGATATTTATATAAAGTATTATATATACAGATAATGGTACTGCGTTGATTCAGACTAAAATCTAATTTATTCATTGATTTAAAAAAATATTTCACTATTTGACATAAATTAATTTAAAATAAACAAAACACTATGATGCGTTGGAATTAATTATCGAAATGTAAAGAAATTTGTGTAATAAAAATATAACATTATTATTAATATATCATGTATATTATAAGAACTTCTGCAAAGCGGCAAAATTTTTTTGATGGCAAAACAGCGTTTGCCGGGTCAGCTAGTATATATATATATATATATATATATATATATATATATATACATGATTTAGTAGTTAATTTTGATGTTGAAATATGTGAGTGAGTTCTTGAGGGCAATACATCAAACAAAGAAAAGCCAAAGATTTATAAAATAATCTTTATTTCCAAACGTTTCGACATTCAATTTAATGTCATCATCAGTGGATCTAAAAACAGTATGAAAATTAGTATATCTAGGTAATTATAATATATGTGTATTGGTAAAGGAACTATACAATAAGAGAAAAATTAACAAACAGCAACACTTGACGACAAACCAAATATAAAAGATAGGAAAGGTAGTAGAGATTAGAATTAAATAAATAATTAAAAAACATAGGCAAATATATATATATATATATATATATATATATATAAACATACAATATATGTAAACTCGTATATATGTAAAGCAAACAAAATATTTATGAAGATGGATAATACATATGAAATACAAGTGGACTTACATTATGTTGGTTGGTTACATATAGAGAGGTGTACACAGCACTAGAGATTGGCACTAACAATTATACAACTAACTTGTCAACACTATGCATTTTTAAGTTGATGAGGTTGAGAGTTGATGAGGTGAGGAAGTTGAGAGTTGATGAGGTGCGGTGGATATGAGTTGTTAATTAAAGTTGTGCGGATGAGGGATAAGTTAGAGGGCCAAAATTGTTTGTCTGAGAGTAGGATGGCATGGTCGACTAAATTAATAATAGTGCCTATCTTCATGCTAGAAGGGTGGTAAGAATGTGCATAATGCATAGTGTTGACAAGTTAGTTGTATAAATGTTAGTGCTAATCTCTAGTGCTGTGTACACCTCTCTATATGTAACCAACCAACATAATGTAAGTCCACTTGTATTTCATATGTATTATCCATCTTCATAAATATTTTGTTTGCTTTACATATATACGAGTTTACATATATTGTATGTTTATATATATATATATATATATATATATATATATATATATTTGCCTATGTTTTTTAATTATTTATTTAATTCTAATCTCTACTACCTTTCCTATCTTTTATATTTGGTTTGTCTTAAGTGTTGCTGTTTGTTAATTTTTCTCTTATTGTATAGTTCCTTTACCAATACACATATATTATAATACCTATAGATATGCTAATTTTTCATACTGTTTTTAGATCCACTGATGATGACATTAAATTGAATGTCGAAACGTTTGGAAATAAAGATTATTTTATAAATCTTTGGCTTTTCTTTGTTTGATGTATCGCCCTCAAGAACTCACTCACCATATATATATATATATATATATATATATATATATATATATATATATAT